TATATATTTTGTAGATAATATATTCTTTATTATCTAATTATGAGTATGTGACATTTCAGATGGGTAGATTTCAACTTCAATATGGTTAGTAACAATAGATATTTGAGCGGAAGAATTTTCTCTCCCATATACAATATTTTTTGGTATAAAATAAGAAGACTAATAAATGAGCGGGATAATTTTCTCTCTCATCTGTAGTCTTTTAGGTATAAGTTAAAATAAAATAAGATAAATGGACTAATATTTGAGCAAGATAATTTTATCTCTCATATATTATGCTTTTAGGTAAACTAGACTAGATAAATGGACTAATAATTGAGCGTGTGTATTTTCTCTTACATATGTAGTGCTTTTAGATATAAGATAAACATACTAATAATTGACAACGTGAATTCCGTCTCTCATATGTAGTGCTTTTTGGCATAAGAAAAACAGATTAATAATTGAGCGGAAGAATTTCCTCTCTTATATATAGTGCTATTAGGTATAAGTTAAACGAACTAATAATTGAACGGTAGAATTTTCTCTCACATATATATAAGATAAACGGACTAATAATTGAGCGTGAAAATTAATTTTCACTCTCATATGTAGTGCATTTAGGTATATAAGATAAGTGGACTAATAATTGAGCGTGAGAATTTCCTCTCATACGTAGTGCTTTTAGGTATAATAAGTTAAGATAAGCGGACTAATAATTGAGCGGGAGAATTTCCTCTCTCATAAGTAGTGCTTTTAATTAGGTGTGTATGTGTGTCTATATATATATATATATATATATATATATATATATATATATATATATATATATATATATATATATATATATAGGTTTTGGTTCAAATAAGAACATGATCTTAGGAGAAAAATGAGAATGAATCTAGACCGCTAGATTTACTTTAAGTGAAATTCAATGTGCATTAGATGAAACTATAATGTGCATTAGGTGAAAGCGAACTGTGCAGCACAAATGGTACGATACAATTACATTATGTGAAGTGGAAATTGTGCATTAGACAAAATTGAAATGTGCACTAGGTCAAACTGAAATGTGCAGAATAAAAGGTATGATGTGATGTTATTTTTGTACCTTTTATTCCGCACATTTCCGTTTAATCTAATGCACACTTGAGTTTAAATTTTTATTCTGCACATTTTAATATCACCTAATGCACATTTCAGTTTCACTAGATGCATAATTCAGTTCCACATAATACACAGTCCAACGGTCCAGATTCGTTCTCATATCTCTCCTGGGAGTCCGTTCTTACCGGAACCGCACCCTATATGTGTGTGTGTGTGTGTTTTTTTTGGTTCAAATAAGAACATGATCTTAGGAGAGAAATGAGAATGAATCTGGACCGTTAGATTTGCTTTAAGTGAAATTCAGTGTGTATGAGATGAAACTGTAATGTGTATTAGGTGAAATTAAAATGTGCAGCACAAATGGTACGATATAGGGACATTATGTGAAGCTTAATTGAGCATTAGGTGAAATTGAAATGTGCACTAGGCGAAACTGAAATATGCAGAATAAAAGGTACGATGTGATGTTATTTTTGTACCTTCTATTCCACACATTTCAGTTTCACCTACTGCACATTTGAGTTTAAATTTTTATTTTGCGCAATTCAGTTTCACCAAATGCACAACTCAGTTCCACATATTTCTATCCAACGTTCCAGATTCATTCTCATTTCTCTCCTGGGAGTCCGTTCTTACCAGCACTGCTCCCTATATATATATAAATCTGTGTGTGTGTGTGTGTGTGTGAGAGAGAGAGAGAGAGAGAGAGAGAGATTCGTTTTCGGGCAGAGGTGTGTGTGTGTGTATAAGAAGATAAGCCGGATAAAACTTGAACAAGATAATTTTCTCTCTCATACGCAATGATTTTAGGTATAAGATAAGTCGAATAAAAATTCATCGGAAAATTTTTCTCTCTCATACATAGTGCTTTTTTATCAGGTATAAGATTATAGAGATAAAGCAATTGATCGGGAGAATTCGCTCTCTCATATATAGTGACTTTAGGTATAAGATAAACTAGCTAAAATTTGAGCGGGAGAATTGTCACTTTCATACGTAGTAGTGCTTTTGGTTATAAGATAAACCAACTATAAATTGAGCCGTTAAATTTTTTTCTCTCATACGTAGTGGTATAAAAAGATAGGTCGTCTAAAACAATTGGGCAGGAAAAGTTTCTCTCTCATACGTAATGCTTTTAGATATAAGAAGTATAAGTATAAGATAAGTCGACTTAAACAATTGAGTTGGAGACTTTTCTCGCTCATACATAGTGGTGTATATGTATGACGTTATGGCGAGTTTAGAAAATATGGATTGATGATTTTAATACAACGTACATGATAATAAAAGAAAGTCATAAGACATTACCACTCAAAGTTATCCGTAAAGTAGTTTTTCAAAACTGTAACAATTAAGTTCAATATTTCATGATCTGTTACCAACAATACTAATTATTATTACGTGGCAATTTCTAATGGATGGTGTCAGTTTTTATATGGAGTATCTTTTAATTTTCTTTTACATTGAATATTTGTTGCATGGATTTATGCTTTCTTTTATTCACTCATTGTACTCCATTTTTGAAATGATGTAAATTGTAAGAAAAAAATCTATTTTTATATTTAATTAGTTGTGAATATATATATATATATATACATATATATATATATAGATCAACTGTTATTCCCGGTGCGTATGCACGGGTACTGTGCTAGTTTTATCAAAAAAAATCACCCAGAAGCCCTCAAATAGACAAGTTCAAATGGTGGCTCCCGTCATAACTACCTGAGGTGATCTTTTTATATATACAATTAGGATCAAATAAAAGAGGGCTTAACGTGTGAATTATTCTGCACCCACTTTTACCTCTACAACAATCTATAGGAATCTTATATACCTAAAGGGAGAATCCGTCTCCCAAAAAGTTTTCCAACTTCTCTCCCCTAATTAACATGCACCGTATAATAATAATAATTATTATAATTAAATTAAATTAAATGCTCCTCCTTTTACTCCCAGACATTTCTTCTTGGTCATAATCAATTAAACATTCGTTTCTTCAGTTTCAATGGAGTATTAACTGAGCTCTTATGTCTCAATCGTTTATTCTCTCTCCTATTTTTCTTTTCGCCATCATCTCCTCTTCTCTTCTTCACGGACATACCCGCTCTAATTCACACGGCACTGGAAACACTTCCTGCAATTTTCGTGGAAGATTGTTTCGTCTTCTGGCGACCGCATTCAGGAACACCTCTTGCGACTTCTGTCCCAAAATACAGTGCATGTTGGTACTTTTTAAATCCCTAAATCTGATCTAAACCTGTTTGGTTTTTTTTATATGATGACGTCACACCAAAACCATAAGGTCATAGAAGGAAATCCCTCAATCCGACAAGAAATTTGTCCAGAAATTTCTCAAATCCCTATCCACCATTAAGAAGCTCTTAAGAATGAATACCACTGTATGAATCAGAAAGCCGCCTGGAGTGACAATATCTTTTCTCCTGATGCTTTGAACTCTTAATTTTCGCCTTTCTTCTCTCCAGAACGCGCAGGTAAGCCTCTCTCCCTGGAAGTATGTAAAGATAGATTTGGTTGTATCGGACCGGATTTCTGCTTAACTTTAGCAGGGTTGGTTGTAGGCCATCTGTCGAAGGTTTAACTTGAAGATCTAACAGCAAGTCAACCATTATTTAGTTTTAAGGAGATTCAAATGTTACATGGTTTTTAAAGCTTGACATTTAGATAAACGTTTTTCCTCAACACTCATAGTACTATGATTTTGCAAAAAAAAAGGGCAAGACTCATAGCTTATTTGTGGGTTTCATCATTATGTTTGATCACAAGTTCACAACAATTGTTGAAGAAGCTTAATTATGGAAATTCCGTAAAATTCTTAGTTAAGTCATAATATTTGTAATAACATTCTAATATTGCATATTTTATGTTATTGGTAAACCACATTCCAACTTGATTAGTTTAAAAACTGAAAATGTGTGAATCTAAATTTAAAAAAGCTCTATTATTTTCCTTTGGAACTGTCCATCATCTTGGTTTAATCTGATACACATTGATATTAATACTCAAACCTACTAAAGTAGCTGGATCTAAACAATTTTGCTTTTTCATTCTTTTAGTTATGCTAACTTTTAGTCTAAAGCACAATTTAATTGAATCCATTCATTTATAAGTCTTTCACACAAGAGCTAAAACCTGACCAAGAACTATTGTTGAATAAAATTATGTTTTTATTTATTTATTTTTCTTTTTAGCCTGTCTATAATTCTAATTCAAAATAAACAACATTTCACATTTCAACTTTCATAAAGTTGCAGATTTATAGACAAAAACTCTGTCTCAAGTCAATTCATATTGCTAAGATTCTCTATTCAATTTTTTGTTCATATGGTTTCATTTTGGGTAACAGGGATTATAGATATAACCCAGGCGTATATAATTACTATACTCTGTGAGCAAGCCAGGAACATAAGGCTAGAAAAACTGCATTTAAGTATTTGAATTCATATTTTGTGTTTTAATACATGTAACTTGGATGGTGTGTTTTAGGCAAATTCATTTCTCGAAAAATGTGAAAGAATTATTGGCTAAGCAGACAAACACACACTATATATGACTATTTACTTTGAAACACACTAAGGTTGGAATGTGTTAGTCTTTAACTCAATAGGACATATTGATTGTCATAATGTTTACGGAGTTCTCGGTTGGTTATTCTTGAGTTTTTCAATCTGAAGTTGGTTTAAGTGAGAGAAGGAGAAAGGGTTAGTTTCAATTTATCAATTTTAATAACAACTTAAAGTGAATAGAATGCGTCTTTGTCTTTAGTGTCGATGTCATGTACAAAAATTTATTTCATGTAAATTATTCTCGTACAATATTTTTAAATTGGACTACTGCTGGACAATAAGTAGCACATAATTAAGGAAACACAAATTAAAAAGACAGCTGATCGAGCCCGGATCATTGATAGGTAATTCCATTTATTAACTTAGAGTATTACACCTAGCTAGCTAGCTAGTTAGTGGATGTCCAATACATATATATACTACGTATATATATAAGATGTAATTGGACTAGTACTACTACTACGTAGTATTATTATTATTGTTATTATTATAACATATATATATATATATATAAGGATCATGCTATGGTGCCTTTGAAAATTTGGAAGGTATGGTGCATCTCATTGTGTGGGCAAATGAAATATTGACACATGGAAATAGTGGCACATGAAATAGTGTCATTAATGAATTGACTTGGAATGTTATTGGGTGAGAAAGGCAAATGTATGGTACACTCCAAATTTGAAGAGGTACCATAGAATTCTCCTATATATAATTGTACGTAGTTAGTCCTGGGGCGACTTAGTTATATTGTGGTAGTCATCATCTTGAGAAAACCATTTTGTGATAATTATTAGTGTAAGAGGAGTTGATGCACCAGCCATAGTGGATGTGAGGATTAGGGTAAGGAGCACAGAAATCACCGCTTCCCTTTTGGAAGCATTCTTGATCGGAGTGGCAGAGGTTTGGATGGTCTTGGATCCTCTTAGCAACAGACGGAAGTCGAGGGGTTGTGCACTGACCAGCAACCAGCCCCCAAGGGATGCAACGACAGTTGGTAGAATCCCCGCATGGTGGCATCTCAAACGGTGAACACACATCACGCCCATTACATGAACCACTTGCAATCCCTAACATCACTGCAAAATGCATGCATGACGTGCAAAGTATGTATGAATACAGAATACTACGTGTTGTCACTTTAACAAAAAAGATACCCTTAATTACACTCTAACAAATTAAAAAAGATTGATTAATTACTCTTTTTGCTTCTTCTCAGAGAATAAGAGATATTTATATGTTGCTGAAAATATTAATCATATTTGCATATATGACGACCAAAGTGTTCTATAATTTCTTATTGACAACAGAACAATAAAAGTACGTACAGGTACATACATGAAGTTGCGATGAAGAGACCCAAAGCAGCAAGCAACTTAAAGTAGGCCATTGTTGGTTATTGCTTTGGAATAATTGCGTACACGTATATATATGCACTCATGGATAATGAACTTAGGATTATATATATTGTGCGCGACATGCATGATAGTTAGTTGATTCATGAATAAAGTGAGTGCCTATTTTATACTACCTCCATCCCTTAATTAACTTTACATTCAACATTTCACGGTCTCTAACGTTGATGTTTGACCATTGATATGTAAAAATATACATTTATAAAACTTATAATAAACCAACATTTCAATAATATATAGGAAAATGAAGAAATCAAAATTATTTTGATATTATAAAATAATACTATCCTCCGTATCACATTAATTGCAACATTGGAATATATACACTATTCATGTACTTAACTTTGACTACATTTTATTTATTAATGTATGTGAATTATTATTTTTTGAAAAATATTGTTAAATTCGTCTCATTATTAAGTTTTATAATCTGATTTTTATTTTATTTTTACTAATACAGAATTAAATTAAATGACGGTCAAAGTTGTGCGTTGGCAAACGTGAAATGTTGACTGTTGCGACTAAAAAGAGACGGAGGAAGTATGGTTTTTGTGTAATTAACGGTCAAAGTTTACAAAGTTTTACAAAGTATGTACCTTCAAACTCCTTATTTACAATTTCAGGTTCTCTTTCTCGATCAATATGTTTAGAGACATTCAATTCTTTGTCATGCACTCGTTGCTTCCCTTCTATCACATGTGACATGTGTATGTGTACATCTATGCATAATGCATCACGAGTTCTTGCACTAATTAGTTCTTCCATGCATATTGCACCACCTAGTTCAAAGTAGACTCATTTCATCTACTTTATTGCATTCTTCCATTTTATTATTAATTAATTAAATGCAAACAAATACTACAATTCTACTAGCATCTTAAGCAGGCTTTATATGTTGAAATAATGACGGAAGGAAGTCTATCAGCTTTCCTTCGGACACACGATAAGACTTAATTTTAGGCTATGTTTGGTAGATAGCCTAATATTAATTTAAGACTTAATTTTTCAGAAAAATAAAAGATCTTTTTTTAGACGTTGCGGGGAGTATCGTCCGAGAAAAGTCTGTGGCTTTTAACATTAATTAATCCCAACAGCTTGTATACCAAACAATACTAAATCAAACAGCTAGCATTTTACCAAATAGATACCATCTTTTCCTTTTAATATCTTTTCGGTCACTAAAAGCTAATAATTGTTAAAAAGCTCACAAAATATCTTTTCAGCTAATTGTATCAAACATACCCTTAATCTCACAAAAAGGTGACTAAATAAACATTGAAGGATAGAAATACTACTCTCTAAAAGATAACCCAAAATTACCATCTCGTCCTTCGGCCATACCCATATGCAGACCATCGCAATGCACATTATCCCATACCTGCCTGCGTGCACCTATCTCAACGCACAATCCTTCGCCTCCAAAACCTATCTCAACGCACAATCCTTCGCCTCCAAAGTCATCTCACTGTCTCGCCTCCATCGTTAGGTCACCGCCTCGTCTCGGTCATCAGGTCACCGACTCCGCCCTCCAAGTCATTGCCCATTAAGTTGATCTTCTTCTCCTTCTGTATTTATGTCCAAGTAGAGGTGAAGGAATGGCGGCAATGACCCTCACGTGTAGAAGATGGGTACGATTTCATATCAGCGACGATGGAAGCAATCGGCTTTAATTCCATTTAAAGATGTTTTTACTTGGACTCTAATTTGTTGGTATGATCTGGTCTGTTTAAGTCTGGTCTGGTCTGTTTAAGTCTGGTCTTGTTTGAATTGGTTTGGTCTGGTCTGGTAAATGTCTGGTCTATTTGTATTTTATAACTAAGGAAGTCTGATCCGGTCTGGTCTGTTTAAGTCTGGTCTGATCTAGGGTCGTCTTTAATTGGTTTGGTGCCCTAGAAAAAAACTAAAATTACATTTTCATGTTAGTTAGTAATGTTTTATACGCCAAATTACAAGATCGGTAAAAAAGGGTAGTTTACCATATTAGCAAAAAAAATCATTTGAGACAAATTGGTAAAAAAACTCTCATGACAAATTTGTCAATTTTATGTGAGTGAGACACTTGTGGTCCTCACTTTAGAATTCCCATCATTTTTTTTACTCCAGGGGGTCGGGGGAGGGGGGCTGGGGGATCCTGGAGTAATCTAGGCTGAAACTCACTCCATTGAGTTTCGAACACGAGACCTCCCGTAAGCGAGAGTGAGTCGGCGACCAGCTGGGCTGGACCGCTTCCTCGATTCCCAGCATTTCAAATCCTAAATATTGTGAAATTGACGATTCGACTCCAACTTTGATTTCAGAAGTAGAGGACTAAAAATTTCAATGGCCGTATTTGATAATAGCAACTGTCTGCTAGCTAATAGTCGGTTGAATCGGCAGATTGATTCTAGCTGATGGATTACCGACCCTGGGGATAGCCAGAATTCGAGAAAAGTAGTAAGATATGAATATCAGAAAAGCTAAGTGAGATCAAGTAAATATTTCAGCAGAGTAACAACAAGAGAATTCAATTGTGATTCCCTTTCCACGGGTTGGAAGGTGATATTTACACAAGGAGTAATACTTGGTGCTCAAGTAAAAAAGATGTTATTCTATTGTGGAGAGGACGCGTGTCCTGCCTATCTTAACGGACTAAATAGCCTGATCAAATGGCGTGTTGCCACGTGTAAAGGTAATTGGAGAGATAAATGGGACAGCTAGTTGATTGGAACTCTATGTAACAAACTGGTACCGGAATACACGTGTGGGTTACACGTGTATTATCCGGAATATTCTTCACTTTATCCGCTGGGAGTGATGTGGCACCTCTTAGGGTACTGATGACGTGGCGGCAGCCTTGTGCATCATTTGCTTCCGTGTATTGCTTAAGTCCATAGTGTTTGGTGAGACTCCGAGCTCCCTAAGGTCAGAGCTCGGATGCTTGCGCTCATCGCAGGAGGATATGTCTTCGGTCTTCAGTCTTGTCTTGTAACGTTGACTCTCTTGTTGACATTGGTTGACCTTGCGTCAGTGTCAAAGGTCAGAGTTGGTACCGAGCTCGGTGTACCTGAGGTCGACCTCATATCTTGCCTTGCCTGGGTGTTTCCCGAGCTCGGTGTTTCCACCGACCTCGGAGGGTCGAGGTCGACCTCGAGTGGTCTTCTGTCCTTTGTCAATTCGTCATCTTGTGTTTGGTCCCGACCTCGGTGGGTCGGGGTCGGGGTCGGGGTCGGCCTTTGTTTGGAGCCTGGTACTTTAAGTATTCTGAGATGCCTTCGACCAGCGATTATGATACTCCTGGAGTATATGAGAATATATTCCATCACTAGCGGATTCCGTTAACTTTTTTAACTAACTTCTTTCATTAGCGGTTTGAAATAAATTATTAGTAACTTAGCTGCTTAATTAGCTTTTAAGATGTAAAATGATCATTAAGGATATGAATGTAAAAATTTATATATTTAACTTAATTTTATTTCTTTTATTTTTAATAAGTCTTGAATTTTTTTTAATATTTTATTTACATTTATATTAAATAACTACTAACATTATCATTTTTAACATATGTACATTAACGCGATCACACGCTTATAAATTCATATATTTTTAGTCTTAATATTTTAAATATGATTATTATTATTATTTTAAATCTACTCCATTTAAAAAACCCACTCCACAATTCTACTCCATATGACTATTTACTAGCTTTTGAAAAAACCTACACCATAGTTATTTAAAATAAATGTAAATATAATTTTTAAAACTTTTTCCAAGACTTATTTAAAAAAGTATGTTATGTATATATACTTTTAAATTAATATTCTTAATGGTCATTTTACGTCTTAACATTTAATCGTAACCAGTTACTAACATATTATTTCAAACCCCTAATGAAAGTGATTCGTTAAAAAAATAAAGTAAATAATGTATATATACTTTAAATTAATATCCTTAATGGACATTTTACGTCTTAACATTTAATCACAACCAGTTACTAACATTTTATTTCAAGAAAGAATGGCTAAAATATCACTTCCAACTTTTCAAAAGACAAAAATATTAGGGAAAAGTACGGAAAAGTACTTGTGGTTGGACCCGTTTTCAGATAGGGTCGTGTGTTTCATTCTTTATCAAAGTAGTTCATGTGTTTGAATTTTGTTATCACAAGAGGGACACGCCGTTAAAAACGTCTGAAAAACACCGTTAAAAGTAACTCCGGTTTTCAAAAGTGCCCGAAAAATTAAAAGAAAAATACTGAAAGGTGCGCCTCGTCAAGATGACCTCCAAACCACCTTTGCCTTTGAATTTTTCAGATATGTTTGAATTATTTTTTAAAAATGATTTCGCTAATATCACTTTTCCGATGGACTTTCCGGTGACAAGGGTGGCTGAAAACAAAAAAAAAAGAAAGATGGCCTAGCGGTCGTCTTATTAAGGCACACCTTCCGGTATTTTTCTTTTAATTTTTCGGGCACTTTTGAAAATCGGAGTTACTTTTAACGGTCTTTTTCAGACATTTTTAACGGTGTGACCCTCTTATGATAATAGAATTCAAACACATGAACCGCTTTGATAAAGAATGAAACACATGACCCTATCTGAAAACAGGCTCAACCACAAAATATTACGCCCTCCGTCCCGTTGGAAGGTTCCCATAGCAAAACGGCACGGTTATTTAGACATAAATTAAATAAAGTAATTCAAGTATATTTTGAGAAATAGTATTAATAGGTATATATTATAATGTAGTTCGTATTGATAACTGTGATGTTATAAATGTATTATTTTTAATATTTAATTATTAATTTGTCACTTAAGATTGTTAATTGTTTCCTAAAATGGAAATGAGAACCTTCTAACGGGACGTCCAAAAAAGGAAAGTGAGAACCTTCTAGCGGGACGGAGGGAGTACCAAAATTGGTTTGGACAAAAATATAACCAACAGCCCTAATTTTTTCTAATCTACGAAATACTATTTCGCATCTCATCTTTCTCGCCTCTCAGCTGGAGTTCTCTTCAAGGCATCGAGCATCCGCATCTCATGGTACTCGCATCTTGCATCTGGCATCGATGATTCGGCTACATAGCCATGGACGAAGCCTCCGCCTTGAGCTCTATT